AGGAGTTTTATAGTTGCGAGCGAGGTCGATGGGCGGAGATTTGCGTTTGTTAATCTGGACGCTGGAATGGCCTCTCAGTTAGTCACCATTAAACTGCTCCAAAGGCTCAATTCTAGGTATACGGTATACTAGTTCAAAAAAATATAAAAGCTTCTACAGAAACTTGGGGATGAACTAACGGTTTAGACAAATTTAATTCATATATTGAATATCTAACCGTTGGTTTGTGTTTGTGTTGTGTGTTGAAGTTGTTTCTTTTCTAAAATTCATGAGTTAGTGGCAAATTGGTGGTTTCTAACTGTACAAAACTGAAATTTATAGTCTTTCTTCCTTTGATTTTTAAGATTTGGGGCTATTCATAGCCACTGATATAAAATTATGGTTTTGAGTTTAGGTTTTTACACCCAAATATTGACATATATATGATTAAAAAGTCATAATATCCAATATAATTAATATACTGGGTCAATACTGAAACATTAGAACATTTATTTTGTACAAAGGTTCGGGGAGTTATACACAGAAGAAAACGTAGCAATAAGTGGAATCCACACCCACGCCGGCCCCGGCGGCTACCTACAGTACTTGGTGTACTCCATAACATCCCTCGGCTTCGTCCAGCAATCCTTCGACGCCATCGTTGACGCCATCGAGCGCAGCATCGTCCAAGCCCACCGCAGCCTCAAACCGGGTGCCATCTTCATCAACAAAGGCGACGTCGAGAATGCGGGCATAAACAGGAGCCCGAGCGCTTACCTTATGAACCCGGAGGAGGAGCGAGCTCGGTATGGGGCCAACGTGGACACGGAAATGACACTTTTGAAGTTGGTGGATGGGGCGAGCGGGCAGAGCCTAGGCGCCTTCAGCTGGTTCCCGACGCATGGGACTTCCATGAGCAGAGATAATAAACTCATCAGTGGGGATAATAAGGGCGCCGCTGCTAGGTTCTTTGAGGACTGGGCCACTTCCACACTTAACAATAACATAACCTCCTCCTCCAAGAGGACGTCAGGTAAAATTTTGGGTTTTATTTGCAAAATTGCCACCTTGGAAAGTCTAATTCTTTTAATTTTGTGGTTAATAGATCGGTGTATTTAAAGAAAATGGTTGTCTAGGACTATTAAACATTAAACATTAAGTTAAAAGTTTAGAAATTAATTAAACAAGTTCACGAACTAAACATATAGTTTAATTTTTTATTTTATCAAAAAAGTTATTCCCTAATCATTATTATCATTTTTTAATTCAAGGAAGAAATGGTGATTTTAGTCTCTAAATTTGGATTTAGTTTCTATTTAATCACTTTAAATTTCAAAAGCTTGCATTTTGATCATTAAATTTTGAATTTTATTTTTATTTTGTTCCTAAACTTTTAAAAGCATAACATTTTTATTCTTGAAGTTTAAGATTTGGTTCAATCTAGTATTTGAGGTGAGTTGATTATTAATTAACTTTGACGAAAGATGATATAGTAGTTAATAGGCTTAAATCGGTTGTCGACCCTAAATCATTATTATTAGGTCCACCATCGATCTCAACCCATATGGAGATGTCCTCAAAGAGGTCAATGCCTTTGTCCCAATGCAAATGTGTTTTCATTTTTTTTTTAACTTAACTTCATTATATTATCTGTAACATTGTAAATAGTCAAATCTGAACTCATGAACCAAATTTAAACTTTTGGGGCCAAAAGTATATCACTTTAAAATATCAAAGGCCTACCACAAATAAGATTCTAACCTCATGGCCTAGAGTGGTCACTTTTGAAACCAAAACAACTAAATAGAAACTAAGACAAACTTCAAGAACTAAAATGGTAAGTTTTGAAATTTCAATAACCAGGAAACCAAAAGCACGACTGGGGTCCAAGATAATAAAACCATCAATAACAGTAACGTAAGCATGAAACTTTTTGGTAGAACTGGTGAACCAGATGGCCGCGGCGATGGAATCTGGGATGGATGACTCGTAGTATCTCTTTAGATCTGGCAAAAGCGAAAGACCTCCTAACGTAATTCGAATGGGGGCGGACCTGACCGCTGAGCCCCTGTGGTTGCGAGCTGGAGCTGCCATAGCTTATGGATAGAGCCATGGGGCCCAGCAGAGAGAACTGTAAGGATAACGAGCGTAGAGCCCACCAAGTGTCACAACCATACTAGTAGAGAGTAGGTTGTGACACCCACATAGTGGACAAGTGGTGGCGACATGCATATGACGCTTGTCGGGCCACGTTGATGGCCGAGAGAGAAGTGTCGTGATGCGACCAAGGAGGATGGTGCATCACCTATCACATCCCATGGATGTACTCAAGCATGCTTAGAGAAGGCATATGTAGAATGCAAGGCGAAGGTGATGTCAGTGGTGTCGGTGATAAGCTCAATGGGGCTAGTTGAGACCTCGGGCCATGGCCCTAGAAGTCGGGGTTCCGTCGAGAGTTTGGACGAGCGGCTTTAGAGTTAAATGCATATTAGTGAGATATGTAAGCACGCCAAGTTTTGTATCGAACGGAGTTCAGACATGCACTCTACGTTGGCGAGTGACTCCTATCCACTTTGCACGTACACGCCTGCCAGACCAAGAATCCCTTAGAATGTACTTTAGGGAGGCATGGTGTCAACTCTCCACCACCCCTAGGCCCTGTGGCCTAAGTGAGCTACCCCATGGCACATACGTGTGTCATGACATGGGTGAGCGTTGCAA